AACGGCTTGATCTGAAAAGAGCTGTTTTTGACAGGGTAAAAAAGGGTGTTTTTACACTACCATTGAGAAATTTTAACCAAACTATGTTACAGACTTTTCATTAAGACCCTAAAGAATCATATCAACCTGTGGAAAATGGCCATCCGATGACCCCTTTAAAAATATAATGCAATGCTGCTTTACAGATTGTGGACACACCTCAACCATGTGAGTGCCATACTTTTTTGTGTTATTTTTTATTTATTTTATTTTTTTGAAGTGTTTGAAAAAAATAAGGTGTTCAGCGTAGGACTGTCGCAATAATTAAATAACTGTCCAATCGCGATTATTTTAACTAACCGCGGTTGTTTCAGACAACCATTATTGTGCTTTTTATACGGCACAAGGGGGGAGTCATACACCAAAAGAAACAGAAGAGCACCAGTTTGGTTTTCATGCACTGTATAGTCTATTACATATCTTAATGTGAGGGACAGAATTGTATTTACACTGTTAAATTTAAGTTTACAGAAATTGATCTTCCTTCTGCTGCAGCTGTCAGTTATTCTCCGCTCAGCATTCAAACAGCATCTTGCTGGAGTTCATTGCTCTCTCATTTCTCTTCTCTTTCTTTGTACCGTGTGGAGAGCAGTGCGCTGTGACTGATTTGGAATACTCTATGTAATCTTACACTGCAAAATAATAACTCAAAAAAATATTAAAAGACAACATAATTATTTACTGAACCCTTAAATTAATCACAGTTATATAATGAAAGCCATAAAAAACAGATGATTAATCATGATAATCGGCATAATCGCCAAAGCCCTAAAACAGACAATTAATCGTCAGCCAAATTTCATAATCGTGACAGCCCTAGTTCAGCGAGTGTTGGCTCTTGCTATTGATTTTAGATTTTTACCTCGTTTCATGAATTAATGCTTTGCCATAAGGTCTTATAGACAATAGTGAATGTGAAGACATACATGAGGCCACTCTTTCTTTTCTGTGGTGCGTCCACTGCACGAAGCATGTTGGGATTCCTGTCACAGCGAATCAACTCAAGCAGAATCAACCTAGCGCACGGGTCCCTTTACAAGCAGGGCCTTTACACACACACACACATGCTCTTTCCGTCCTCTCATCCCCCTCATCCTGGTCTTCAGCGCTTCTTTTTAATGTCATATTTCTACTGGCCGCATAACAGAAAAAAATGGAGCTGGGAATTAAAGAGAGATAGAGGTCGAAAAAGCTTTCTCTCTTCCCAACATGCCCCTGTGCTGACTGACCTTGTTTTACCCCCATCCTCCACTCACCTCTCTTGCTTTCTCTCCCTCCCACCAACCTATTTCTCTCCTCCCTCCGTTGCACTTCTTCTCTCGTATGTTTTGATTTCTGCCCATTGGTGCAACTAATAAAATAATGGTTGATACAATGCTATGGTGGCCAGTGTGAAAGGTGATAGCGGCATGTGCCCACAGTAAAACTCAGCAGACAATGAAAAGCAGAGTCTGTTTAAATACGGAATAGGCATAACAAACCTGAGAAAGATATTTGCTAGCGAACTTGTTTATTAGCCTGTGTTATATTGTGAATGTAGTAAGAAACACCATGCTCACTGAAATGTAACGCATCAGATTTTTGAGAAAAATGAATTTTAAATGCAATTTCAGTCTAAAAACTTGTATTAAAACTTAATTGTTTGAAATATAGTGTCGCAGTGTTAGAAACCCATTCACACATATTGCACCTAATGCAAAACATGCACGTAGAAAAAGTTGTTGCTCACAACCTGTAAAACTGTTGCTGTTTTAATCAGCAACAATGCATTAATTTGATCATCATATATCATATAATGCATCATATAATAATTGCTGTTAATAGTGTTCATTGTCTGTTTGATTACATCTTTAATTGATTTTTCTGTACATTTCTGCCATATGTACAACCGACAGTCACCACTGATAAGCTACTACTAAATATTGTAGAAACTTAATTTTCTGTAAAGTTGCTTTGCAACGATTTGTATCGTGAAAAGTGCTATACAAATAAACTTGAATTTAATTGAATTGTATCAAAAGTGACAGTGTTACAAAAGATTTCTACTTCAAGTAAATGCCTTTTTTTTTTTTTTTTTTACTTTGTTCACCAAAGCAAATATATCATGGTTTCCATAAGAAATATTAAGCAGCACGTCTGTTTTAAACATTGTCAGTGTTACAAAAGATTTCTACTTCAAGTAAATGCCTTTTTTTTTTTTTTTTTTACTTTGTTCACCAAAGAAAATATATCATGGTTTCCATAAGAAATATTAAGCAGCACGTCTGTTTTAAACATTGTTAATAGGAAATGTTTCTTGAGCAGCAAACCAACATATTAGAATGATTTCTGAAGGATCATTTAACACTGAAGACTGATGCTGAAAATTCAGCATTACATCACAGAAATAAATAGCATTTTAAAATATATTCGCATAGAACATTTTTATTTTGAATTGTAATAATATTTCACAATTTTAATGTATTTTCAGTCAGCTCAGTTCAAGAGATTTCTTTAAAAAAAAAAAAACTTACCAAACCCAAACTTTTGAATGAACTTTTGAAGTCTATACTGCACAATATATCTCATCCGTATGTATTTCCAGCACATTTACACAGTGATATGATTCACTTTTAATGTCTTTATTGTTTGTTCAGGTCTCCTGCATGTTCGTCAGTTGCCCCGTCTGAACTGTCTGTCATGTGAGGTACCTGATACGAAAGACTTGGCCTTCAAACTCAAGAGAAAGCAGTTCACAATTGAGGTGAGTTTATAACAGTCATGTCCTCTCATATGTTTCCTTTAATAATGTTCTCTTCAATTTATTCAGTTGTCTTTTCCACTCGGAAGCACATTCACGCAGCTTTTTTTTGTTCTTCAACTTCATTGGTTCTAACAATTACAGGTGGAGAGCAGTAAGAGTAGGTGCTAATATTACTCATTTTAATTTCCTCCCCCTATGTCACTCGAACCACTGCACATATTAGGAGGTCATGATTATGAATTGATGTCCAGCTGTGCTTCACTAGTTCCTGTTTATCTTCCTGAGCTATTGAGTGTCAATTTGAAAGGTTGAAACAATTGATTTTAGACTGAACATGTTACACCTCTCCTCAGAATAACCTCAAACGCTTGAATATTTTCTTTCTGAAGTCTCATATATACACTTATATTCTTTAATGTGTAACGTATGGTAGCTGGGGATTATATAGTACTCGGACAGGTCTGATCAGAAATTTAGCATAATGTATTCAAAAGTTTTGTGTTGTGTGTAGGGGTCCAAAATAATTTTTTTTGCTACAGGTGAATTGTACGGGGCCACTAAAGTGACTTAAAAAAAAAAGTGTACACTTGCGTGTGTGTGTGTAGGGTTTCAGTATAATTAAAAAAAATTAATATATTTTTTTTTTAGGGCTGGGCAAGTTAACGCGTTATTGTCGCGTTAACGCATTAATTGATTAACGGCAACAATTATTTTATCGTGTGTTAATGCAGTTTTTTATTATTATGAAAGTCCGTTGCTCACTTGCTCTGAATACACATACAGACAAACCGTATGGGTCACAGGAGGGGTGGGATGTTGATCAGTACTGGCTTGGGATGGGTGTCATCACGCGTCTCAAGATACCAATGAGCGCATTTAGGGAGGGCCAAGACTGCAGCAGCGCAGCGCTCACATAAAGAGCTTACGACTTCATAAGTGGGAAATAGGAAGTTTCCCGATAGCACGTGAAGGCAGCAGAGAAGCGCACTCGCTCAGCACAGTGGAGTGCATCGTTTTGTTAACTTTGTGGTTTATTATTTTGAGCCGTTTGGGACACGGTAACAGACAGCCCTCTCACAATATATTGCTTTTCAGATCTATCACTTTTGCTGCTCAGAAATGTTCACGCAATCATGCTGCACGTATCAGAGTTCCGCCACTCCATCACTACATGCGTACCGCGCCCGAGCCCAAGTGAACCGTGCTCTGGCCCACCTCTTCCAACCGAGCCAGGGTCGGCTAAACGAACCGCGGCACGGAGCGATCACACTAGTCAAACGAACCGGGCTTTGGGGGTCAGACACGCTCGGGCACGGTTAAGATTGCCTAGTGTGATACACCCTTTATTCTCCTCCCGCATCCCGCACACATGAGTCTCTACCCACCCGCACCTGCACTCGCCCATCTAGTGTTGTCCCGCGCCGCACTCTGCTGTGTTGGGTCCCGCGATAGTGCAGGTCTCTACTTGGAAGGTGCCTGTTATAATGTTATGATCGAGGCTCTGGACTCTTGAGTATAACTTGTTTTTCTATAACAAACTATAAAATATTTTCTATAAAAACGTTAATGCCCTGGCAGTGGCAAATAGCTTTGGTTTTATATATAATTTGATTACATTAATGTTATAAGTTGAGATTTACAAGAAATATTTTAACTGCTACTATGTAAAAGGAATACTGCTGTAAAAAAAAAGCACTTTATTTGTTTAAAGTGTTTGCAAACCAAATGTTATTGCACTTTTGTTCATATAGCAGTACTTTTAAATGAAAACAGCACACAATACACTACTTTTGAATTTATTATTGAATTTTGTGCATAACAATGCGATTAATCGCTGAAAACCATGCGATTAATCGCGATTTAAAAAAAAATTCATCGTTGCCAGCACTAATTTTTTTATATTTCTTTTACTCTTTTTTTTAATAATTTCTTTTATAATTTCAATATTTTTGTCCCTATGACAGGAATAATTTAGCTGTTTTTTGTAAAAATTTTGTAACTTACAGCAAAAACTAGCATTTCTGTTTTGATGGCTTAAAGCTAGATATTGTTGATGAAAACTGTTGAGTTATAAACCTGGTGTCATGTTGATGATAATTTGTTGACTAGTACAACCTAGTCTTAAGTATTTATTTTCTTTATAATAACTATTTAATCTTATTTATAATAAGAGATATTTCATCCCCTTTGAGAAAAAAAGTAGTTCCAATTAACAGTTTAACAACTTGTCTACATTTTCTTGAGATTAAACTTAATTTAATCATGAATTATTTTGCATTTATTTTCAGTTTCAAGAAAAGTTTCGCTTGGTGTGAGTGTTCAATTTATGTTAAGCTCTTCAGTAGACGCACACACACACACACACACACAAAATCCACTTCCAGCCAGTAAGTGCCTGCCCATCAAGTGGAGACAAATGAAAGGGCCCAGGCTTTTACTGAAGCCCCATAATTGGACCCTAATTAAGTTATCAGTGGTGAACCTGTTAATAGTTAATCAGGAAGTCTATTGTCTCAGAAGCACCAGCAGTCTTTGTCTTTAAACGCTCTCTAAGGCAGAGACCTCTCATCCACTCCTCTCCTCTAGATTTATAGGGTCAATAAAAGTCAAGGTGGCTTCCCGCAATGGCTGTTTAATGAGCCGACTGCTTTGAGTTTGTGCAGGGGCTCAAATGTGAGTTTGTGTTGTAGTAGTGCTGAAAAATTGTGTGTATCTTTTGGGCAGCGTAATGTACCTTAACTTCTTTTCATCTGATCTTTCAATATGTCTCAGTATAATAATTTGTAAATCTAATTGAAGCATAGGATTAGCAACACCAAGGTCATGGGTTTGATTCCCAAGAAGTGCATGAGCTCATAAAATGCATACCTTGAGTGCAATATAATTTCATTTGTGTCCGCCAAATCCATAAATGTAAATATCATATCATAAAAACAAAATATACATAGAGTAAAGTGGTTTAAAGTTCCTAATTCCTCAAACTAAAGCAATGAGGGACAATATTGCTTGAACAAAATATGCTTCAGCAAAAAATGTTAACTCATGAAAATGTTGAAATAAGAAAACATACTTAAGATTTCACCTTGTGTTATATGGTAAAATTAAATTTTAACATATCGCACATCTTGTGCAAGCATATTGAAATCAGTTGTGCTGCTTAATGTGTTTGTGAAGATTGATTTATCATTTATTAAATACAATATTATACAGAATAGTCTATCTATATAATATTTTATTATGTAGAATTTATAGTAAAAGTAAAAGTCTTTACTGTCACTTTTGAGCTATTTAATGTCTCCTTGCCAAATAAAAGTATTAATTTCTTTTTTTTTTTAAAGCCCTACTGACCTAAATTTTTGAAAGGCAGTGTAGTTATTAATCCTAAATGTTATAGATCTGAATATATAGTGCTATTATACATTTCTGAAGTACTGTATATGCTGATGATGTGTATTGTATTCAAGGCATTTATGCATTCACTGAGAATCGTACCCATGACATTGTCGCTGACATGAACACTATATTATATTTCACAAATGTATGTGTAAACCATTTTTATTACAACAGCACAATTCAAATGAGATCATATGAGAATGTGTTCTTGATTGAAGCTCCCAGTGTCAGGTGTGATAACATCACAATAAGATGTGGTGAATAAGAAAAAAGTGATGAAAAGAAAAGGAGATAGTGACTTGTTTTCATGAATTTCCTCATTCGATCTTACCATTCCAATCTAGCCAATGACATACAGACAGGCCTTTGATAAATAGTGTTACACCAACAGCTTTGTCACGCACACAAACAAATGTGCCGTGCGGAGTTTATGCTGAGTGAAAAGAAAAAAGAAATTCATGTCAGTGAGTTTGCCCTGCGGGGCTGAAGGTAGCGTGCGTTCGCTTCAACCGCATGCCTCAATCATAATTCTACCCTAATTTTTTAAAGAATATTTGTGATGGGAAGGTTTTACAGAGAGCCACTAATTGTTTATGTATGGTCTCCACAGCAAGAATCAAATACACTTTACTTTAAAAAGGTCATATCATGCTGAAACATCTCTTGATCTTTTGACTTTGAGAACTTGATGGACTTTCAGCACTCAGAACCTCTGAACTGACCGTAATTATGACTTTGACATGTAAAAGTAGGGGAATAAATTATGAAAGGACCATTTTAACACCTATTTTCTTTCTAGCATTGTTCTTTCTAGCCAGGCTATCATCCCAACCTTTATTCACACACGCAAAAAACATGTATCTTCGCCTTCCCTTTAAGATGAGTCGGTGTGAATCAGAGGTCTGATCTGTGTTCAGTGATTGTGTTTGAAATGTGATTGGCAGGACAAGTGTGTGTCAGTCAGGTCGCTCAGAGTGCACACGTCAATCAGAGATCAGCCACGTCATGGTAACATGAACACAGAAAGATGAGTTTTCTCACATAGAAACCATGCAGGACATCTGAAAACTGCAAAACTGAAATATTAGGTTGAATCATTCCTAACTTGCATGAAACTACTGTAGCTGTTCTTGTATATTGCTCATAAAATGTACAATTCATTTAGTATTTTTAGGGATACACTGATATAGAAACTTGGGGTCATGCTGATAATTATATTTGTTATGGCCGATAACCGATATGACATTGGTTTATTTTGAAGATTTTTTTTAACTGCTTTAATAATGCTGAAGCTTCAGTCTTGCTTAAAGTGAAATTAGGCATCAGAAAGGTATAAATAAATTATACAATATAAAGAAATTAACAAACGTGTGTGTGTGTGTGTGTGTGTGTGTGTGTGTGTATATA